CCAGAAACTGAATTTGCAACTCTTTGGGAGCCAAGAAAAACAACGGAAGAAGCTGAGTTTGGCCATGGCTGCTACCATACTGCATGGAATGAAGATCTGGTCCTCCCTCTTCTGACTCATCCCTAACAGAAGTGCAGCAACAACAGGATTTCATTAACCCAATATACATGTAATTAAGAAACTGCAGGGGGTGTAACACTGTGCCAGGTGTCTAGGGTATATGAAAGTGACTAAGATAGGGACCCTGCCCTCCAGGCATGAACAGATGGTGGAGGAGAGGATGGAGCTCTAATCCAGTGGGAATGGAGTCACCTAAAGCTTTATCAAGAAGATGATCTCTGAGATGGGTCTTGGAAGATTAGCAGGTTTTCAAGAGGTAGAGGTGATGGAGGCAGCACCTGGCTCTCAGGAATCCTGGTGCTAAGGAAAGTAGGAAAGAGGATGTAGGAAATGCTTGGGGACAGAACTGTCCTTAGTTGGTGACTATCTGGGGACAAATGGGGCTCACAGTACAGCTCAGGAGCCTATAGGAGGAGGATGTCTATTTCCATAGCAACAGCAACATCCTGCAGTGGCTGATTTCTGGGAGAGGATGGTATAAGAGGGAGGAAGAAAGACTCATCACGGGCAAGGCAGAGTGAGAACACCTACTGCCTGCTCCCAGCTGTGGCCCCAGCTGCTCTGGCTGCTGCTGTTGGGGACAATGAGATTATTCAAAGGGACAGTTCTGGGCAGCTGGCCTTGAGAATCATGGCGAACTACACCGGATTGAACCCAGGACCCAACTGTCATCTGGGGAGTGTTGTAACTATTCAAGGAGGCAAAAAATGATCGAGTACTTCCAGGGAAATGCTTTAGAGGATTTGAAGAGATTTCTTTTCACATTTACACTTGATTAAGTATTTCAGAAGTTGTAAGGAGCAAATGATAGCTTCTAAAGTGGTGAAACCCATCTTTTGGTCTGAGCATCTCAGCCATTCATCCTACAATATCCATCCTGTCGTGCACCTGCTGCCCCCAAGGTGAAGGAGAACAGGAGGAATTACTACAGGCAGTAAACCAGATAGAAATTAATAGGAGTGAGACAGGGCTGGGCCCTCGAGGGAGTCAGTGCAGAAGATGAGAGCACATACAGCTGTGGCTGCAGGCACATCTGCTGAAAGCCAGATCTCAGGACAAAGATGCAGTGACCAGGCCTACACGCCCACCTGAGGGATGACCTATAACTTGAGACTGTACTGTGACTGGTATCACCCGGTCCAGTAAAGTCCTAGTGACATCAGTCACCTAGGTGGGTGACCACGGTACCCAGACCCATCCCTTCCCAAAATGCCTTTGTTCTTCCCATGCACCTTTGGTATGTGGCTCATTTCCCTACTGGGTTAATGTTAGTTAAGTGGCTATACTTGTAATCTTAATCGGTTGATTATAGTTTGACCCATGTTGGACTCACATTGTGACTTTCTGCATAAATTATCCCTGAAAAAGGCTCTTGGTGGCCACTCCATCTGGGACACCTCCTGTCTCTCAGGAGCTATCTCTTAATAAACCTTTCCTACTCTTAACCTCCTTTGTCCTTTGGAAGTCATTCTTCAATTTCAGGGGACATGAACTTGACACATTTGACATCTAGCAGGTTGGGAGTTATATTTCTCCTATATCAGAATGACATTTTAAAAGTGATGATGGGGGGGAAGAGCGGCAGCCCTAAACTTACCACCACTCATGGTGACAGTGAAAGCTGAGAAGAAATCAGAAGAGAAGTCTCTTTTGGCTTCTAGTGCGAACTCACCTTCAGCCCCGTCTCACACACACTTTCTCAGAGGCTCTGTCTTTGTAAGTGAGCACCTTCCTCGCAAAGCAGTCCCCAGTACCAGCCCCCATCAGGGTATGTTTCAAGCTGATAAATGATGTCCTTGTGTGAAGATACTATAGCTTTTCAGACAACTGCCCATGTGTATCTCCTAGCTTGGGACTGGTATGCCTCCTCCCTGCTGGTCTGCGGCTATTGTTACAGCTTCCAGATGGTTGGCATTTAAGCTCTTCTGCTTTGCTTCAGAGAGAGCTGGGAAACTTTGCTTGAGAACAGTGTACAGTGGGTTGTGGTGCCCACTATGTCGGTCCTTGGGGAGCCTTTGACCTGGGGGTTGCAGTCCTGTGAGTCCTGCTAGTCTCTCCTCCGTTGTGCCTTCCTGCTGGACCTCTGACCCTTGTGAGCCCAGTTTCTCTACTCCATTGAATAGATTCCGTTTTTTCAAAGTAGCTTCTGGATATTAGAATGTGTAATGTCTTCTCCTGGGCCCCTTCAGGAGACGGGGACAGAAAAGGACAATCTCTCCCTTCCCCAAACATTGCCAGGAGTCTGTTTTAATGCTTGGTCACTGGTGGGTTCTCCCACTATTCCTAGCTTTGAGTTAGCCACAAAACAGGTCCTTTAAGTAGGTGATGATTCAGAAATTCCCCTCCTAGACTTGCATTTTAGTAACGCAGTTAGAATGATGGCCTTTGAACAGCTGCTTATAGCATAGCAGATAATTTTGATTGTTTTCATTTCTTTTTCTCTTTAGCCTTCTCTTTTGCCCTTCCTTCCTTTTACTTCCTTCTTTTCTTCCCTTCTCCCATCCCCTTCCTTCCCTTTTCTATTTTCCTTTGCTTTTTTGCCTCATTTTCTAATATATATTATGAGTATTATATATATTAGAACATAAGTCTGTGTTCTATACCCCATCAACTCCTTCACTTTTTATCATCATCTTGCTCAGAAACATCTCCTGTTCAATGAGAAAAATCCAATTCTCTGTAGAGCAGAGGTCCCCAGACCCTCTTAGGACCTCATACTTGGGACACTCATCCTTGAGAAGGTGGGAAGAATTACCATGGTCACAAATCCTAGACTGAGGTGAAGAGAGAGGTCATTCTTCACACTGAGAAGTCTTTCTTTGAAGCTGAGAATGGTAACTACCAAAAGGGCTCCCCCACCAGAGACATCCACACTGGTCCATCCATCTTTCTAAAGGGGGCTCACCCACAGCATCTGCTCTTTGCTCATTGTAAACGTGACCCACTCATTTTAGACTCCTTGGTCTCTTTCCTTACTCTGTTCTGTTACCTTCTGCCTAAAATGACTTGATTACCCTTCCCAGTCAGGCGAATGGTCCTCATTTATCAAGCCCCAGACTCACAACTCACTTGTTTTGCAAAGCCTCTCTGCCTACTCCAGCCACGGGGCTGCTAAAACTCTGTGGTACTTATGAGGTTGTTCTCTGCAGCAAAGATGCTATGAGGGGGTTCTACTATCCCTTAAGGACTCACGGTTAGGCTGAGACTACCAGCCACACCTTTCTCCCTTATGATCACTCGTACTTGGGCTGCTGGCTTTTGTCTAAACAGAGGGCTCTCAGATCCCCAAGGAGGGGCCAGAGCTGGCAGCAGTGATTTTTTTTTTTCTTTTTACAAAGCAAATAAACATGAAATTTGTTACTGAATAGTAGCTGTCTTTTTTAGCAGCTGTCTTTTTTAAGAATAAAATTTAAGTAAATTTTATTCTAATACAGAATTTTTAAAGTTGTTAATAAAATGCTATAAATGCTACCTTGTTCAATGGAGTTTTCTGAAAATGCATAATGTTACTTAAGGATAAATCCTGGATTTAGAAAATGAAGGTGAAATGATAAAGCCCTTAGTAAAAGTGGCTGCTATGAGATGTTGAGAAGTATTTTTTTTCTGAAACATAACAGCATCAGAACGGCAACCTTTGACAGAAGCCTGTCAAACCCCAAGAGCTCTCGGGAACAGCGATACCAGGAACTATCCAAGGAAGACATGTTGATCCTCGAAGAAGTCCTGTTGATTACAGCTGCACCCTCCAAATCACACTTCTCTCATGACCACTGTATGTGTCACTGCCGAGTTTAATCTAATTTTACATACATGTACACAATTTCCATGGGAACCATTTCTCCAAACTTGCAACACAAATCAAATAACACAATCAGAATTCACTGGATACAGAAGTAGACAAAGATTTAGAGGGGAAGATGAGAAGTTCAGGTTTTTACATATGTAATATGGCTTTAAATATGTTTTAACATCTTCAGTTATAACATTTTATACAACTCTGAGTTGTGCACTGTTATGTGAACTTTTATGGTAGAAGTAACAAAAATTGAGTATTAGAATAAAAACAGGAATTTTCCGTCTAAGTAAAAAAGAACAGCCAGAGCTCCATAACTCATCATTCCACATTAGTTATAATTTTAATTACTCTGAAATAGATTAAGATCAGCATCTCACTATGACTAAAGTGATGACAGCCCCAAATAAGGCTTGGATAAACTGCACTTAGCAGCTTAGACCACAGAGAATAAAAGAACTAGCCAAGTCGTAAAGACACTTTTTATATCATAGGAAGGAAGAGGCTTGAGTTCAATGAGTAGCAGCTGTTTTCTCCTTAAACATCTTTCCTCTCAAAGCCATGTACCCTGATTGCATTATTAACCATACACTTATTATTTTTACAAGACACTAGAATCAAGTGCCAATAGAACTGGAAGAAACATTTACAGTAGACTCATTAATATTTCAATGTAAATATTTTTGTTCACTTGGAAGTATTATTTCAAGATGGTTGAAAAGAAATTCTTTTACCCCTTAGTTTTAATTAGTCTTCCCAGAGTGGTCTTCTCAAAAAGTCACTCCACATCTTTCTTGCTTTCCACCGAACAGCAAATGACTAGTAGCATGACTTCACTATCTTTTTAAAATAGTTCCTTGGGAAGGGAAGAGCCGTGGGCATTAAGGAGGGCCACCACTGTGGGCTCTGTACCTCTAAGGCAGGTATAACGATGGACACAAATGTAATTCTGATAACTCTCCTACCACATGCAAAGGACTTGGCCAGTTTTCAGGCCCACACAAAATACCTGGAAGACAAGAGCACCCGGTAAACAAAGAAAAGCACAGAGGCTGCCAGGCAGTTGCTCCATAACTAGGGTACTTACAGGGCAGTGAGGTAACCCTCTAAAAAGCCAGCCACAAACATGATGATCTCATTGTGCAGGTCCTGAGAGCCATACCCAGCTTTGATCTCCAGGATGCCCCAGCCAGTGGTTTTCATAGAATTATTGTAATAGCCATATGCATCCCCATTCTTGTCCAGGACATCTTTGACTTCTACTGTCTTTGTGTCGGGTACCCAGTATGCAGTTGCATAGTGAACTCCTGGAAGACAAAGGAATAATGATAGAAAGCCATTTGCCTGAGTTGCTGATGAACATTTCTTTCTATGTAACAAACAACTCCAACACATTAACTTTCGAAGATTTCCTTTCCATTGGAATAGAGTTTGTCTTTGTTATAAGACAGAGACAACCCAAACCTCAAGAGGGGATGAGCCCAAAGTACACAGCCCCTGGTCATAGATAGGGCAGTAGTTTCAGCATCAAGCTTGTGGAATGGGATTCCGGCAGAGCTAGAGCTGGAGCTCATGCCCAGCTCTCCATTCAACCAGCAATAGCGTTCTTAGCCCTAGTCACTAATTTTTCCATTCCCTTCAGGAGTTGGACCACTTGCATCTCCTGCTTAATTCTGCTTAATTTTTCAAGCATGAAATTTGTTTTCTATCACAGCACAAAGTTCTAAGCTATCACCTGTGGTCTCCTCAAGGTCTGGGTAAGTCTGTGAATCACCCTCACAAGCCCTGTGCTTACACCATCTCTCCCTTCTTGCGCACCTCAGTTGTTCTCCTGTTCTGCATCATTCTCTTCAAGAACTTGGTCCCATCTTATGCTTTCTCGATCCTGTTTCCTAAAGCTCACCCTCTGCAGTGCCTCCATCCTCTTTAGCAGAATTAGCATCCTCATCACTTCATATCACAGAGTATTTGAAACTGTACTAAATGCTGGCAATGGTTACCCACGCAACTGCCACCGCCCAAGCTTGTGTTTCTAGAAGGAAACGTGCACTCACACAGTGCACTTCTTTATCTTCCTCATTCATTTCAGCCTGCTGTAGTTTCCTCTGTCATCAATGTCCATTCTTCCTGGGTCACAAATGAAATCCTTAGATCTAAATGTGACATGAGCTTCTCAAAGCATTTGACTGTGGTGACCCAGTATCTGTAGGATGGGTTCCAGGACATCCTATAAACACCAAATATCCACAGATGCTCAAGTACCTTATATAAAATAGTGCTGTATTTGCACATAAGCTGCACACATCACATGTTTTAAGTCAGGAGTCCCCAGTGAACTGGGCCACGCAGCAGGAGGTAAGTGCCAAGTGAGTGAAACTTCATCTGTATTTACAGCTGCTCCCTATCACACCTACTACTGCCTGAGCTCCATTTCCTCTCAGATCGGTAGTGACACTGGATTCTCATAGACTGTGAACTCTACTGTGAACTGTGCACACAAGGGATTTAGGGCGTGCCCTCCTTACGAAAAGTCTAATGCCTAATGATCTGAGGTGGAGCTGAGGTAGTAACGCTAGCACTGGGGAGCAGCTGCAAATACAAATGAATATTAGCAGACAGGTTTGACTGCACAGACACCATAGTAAATCAATTGCTTGCAGATTCATGTCAAAAATATATCAGTGAGTGGCAAGTGACAACAAGCATCATGGCAACGATGCTTGTTTTGTGCAATGTATTTTTCGGAGGCTGTGCATGAGGACTTGCTATGTGCACTTTTTTGTTCCCAACCAACACGCTGCTGCAGAACTATTCCAGGCTTTAAATGCTTCCACATGAAAACTGAATTGGTCATTTTATGCCAGTACTTGCCTCTGGTGGCAGGATTTATTGTGGACCAAGAGTTAAAGGGAGAGCATGTAAAAATTTAAGATGTGTTATGTACATGTACTAATTCCCCATAATAAATGTAATTATGTACTGCAAAAAATTAATAAAATTAAAAATAAAAAAGTAAAGCAAAAAAGGATTTATAGTGGCAAGTGAGCTGATGTCCTTCAGTTGGATGGCTACATCTTGTGGCTGGCTTCAAGTCAGAATCTGACACTTATTTTAGTCCATGCATCGTCTGCCCATCATTTTCATTACAGTTCCACCTGCACCTCTTTCTTTCCTGCATTTCACACTTCTCTCTGTGCAGTGGATTGACAGCTGGTGGGCAACTTGTAACAGCCAGCTGAACTGAGTCAGCATGGTGCTGGGAGTGGAAGGCCCACCTGAGGACTGTTGCCAGCAGCATAAGAGGCAGAACTGGAGAGGCTGTAGAAGCTGTTGGGAAGCTGTTATACAGCTGCTGGTTTTCGTGGGCTGTTATGCTGGAAGAACTTGTCATGCTGGCTTTCCTGATGAACTTGGCTGTTCTCACTGGAGGAGGAGCTTGGGACCTCATTGTCACTGAGGATGGCTGAGGTTCATTTTGGGGAAGCTATAGTCCTTCACTTTGAGCATTGTTTCCTGGCTCTGGAAGGAAGGATGGTGCACTGCTCAGTCTCCTGGAGAAGCTCGTAGCATTGGCTTTCCTGATGGGAACTTGGCTGTTCTCATAGGAGGCGCTTGGGACCTCACTGTTGCTGAGGATGGCTGTGGTACTTTTCAGGGGAGCTCTGGTTCTTACTTTGAGCATTGCTTCCTGGCTCCAGTGTAGATCCCTCAGCCTGTTAACACAGACCCTTCAACCCCTGACACAGACTTTCCAGCTTCCACCACTCAGCTTTGGGCTTTCCCAGTGCAGATCCATGAAACAGGCCTGCATGAGACATTGCTGTGGGCTCTAGGCCTCCAGATGGACACACAAGAGGCATTGTTACGGGCTCTAGGTCTTTAGCTGGATTCATGCAGGACATTATTGTGGGATCTCAGCTGGATTGTTTGGTCTTTAGTGTGTGGACAGATTTCCTGCACTCCTTTGTATATGACTCTTGGGGTGACTATTATAAAATAATCCTATAAACTATGTGTATTGTATTATTCCCCTTACAAAACCCCAAACTACAACACGCAGTCACAGTTTTCGTAAGCACAGAAACTAACCCTTGCCAGACCAAGCAAAAAACAAGCATTACCAGAGAGCTTCTTTGAAAAGAAGGAATGAGACAGCAGAAGACTCTAAGACTGCCAAAAAAAAAAAATAAATAAAAAAAGAAAGAAAGCTGCATTTAAACAGCTGCAAGAGTCCTACTAAAATAACAGGTTCATTGCAACAGATGATTCACATTCTCCAAGCCACTTTGCATACTATGTGGTAACTGGCAATCCAAGGAGGGCAAGAACCATTCAAAACTGCTTTGCCACATCACATCCCAGCACCTTGCATTAAAATACAAATGTCTGGAATTTTTCAAAAGAAAATAAAGTGAACACAAAGAACAGAGCAATTATGGAAGGTCACCGCTTCATCAAATGTGTCCGCACTGAGAGCATTAGTCCTAGTCACAAACCACATTACTAAAGTTAAGAAATCCTTTGCTATTAATGATGAGTTTGTCCTGCCAGCTGAGGACATTTGTTGTGAATTTTTAGGAGCAGCTGCATTCAAAATGTAGCACATGTTCTGCTTTCAGTCAGCACTATAACTGGATGAATGAATGAAAGAGCAGGGGATACTGAGGTACAGATTTTTTTTTTCTTCCGGTACCAGGAATCGAACTCACAACCTTGTGTTTGCCAGGCAGGCACTGTGCTGCTGAGCTAAATCCCCAGCCCCTGGGGTACAGTTATTACAGGGCATTTAATGAGTCAACATGGCATAAAATCCAGGTTGAAGAATTTACCAATACTGACAACAAGGCAACAATGCTTGTTTTTGTGTGATGTATTTTTCAGGAGGCTGTGCATGAAGATATGTCTTGTGCACTTTTGTTCCCAGCCAACACACTGCTGCAGACCTGTTCCAGTCTTTGAATGCTTCCATATGAAAACTGAATTGGTTGTTTTGTGTCAGTACAGACACACAGCAGGTGCCATAAATGGGTGGTTTTCCAGCTTCACTACCCAGGTCAAAGAAGTCACTTCTGAATGTGAATTTGTGCACTGTGTCATCCATATAAAAAAGGTTGGCTAGCTGAAAAATGTCACCTAAACTTAGCAATGTTTTGCACATTGTGATTAAAAATTATTGACCACCTTAAAGAGCAGGTCCTTAACTCACACATGTTCACATGGCTCCGTATGTGCAGATGGATGCAGAGCACATATATCTTCTCTTATACACAGCAGTGAGATGGCTTTCTAAAGGTATACCACTGGCCAGAGTTTCTGAGTTCTGAGAGAACTTCAGGAATTTCTTCTAGAAAACAGTCACTACTGGGATCATATATCAGTGACACTGAATGGGTCACAAAACTTGCTTATTCATGTGACATATCCAACCTGTTCAATAAATTTAATCTGTTCCTTCAGAGGAGAATGACCATTATATTCAAATCAGCGGATAAAGTGGATGCATTCAAAGCCAAACTGGAATTATGGGGGCAATAAGTGAACACTGGAATTTTCCACGTTTCAGATATCAGCAGAGATTTTTTTTTTCCGGTACCAGGAATTGAACTCACGACGTTGTGCTTGCTAGGCAAGCACTGTGCCGCTGAGCTAAATCCCCAACCCAAAGACTAAATTTTTTTTTTTTTTTTTTTTTTTTTTCTGGTACCGGGGATTGAACTCATGACCTTGCACTTACCACGCAGGCGCTTATGCCAGTGAGCTATATCCCCAGCCCTCAGCAGAGATTTTGAAAGAGACTTATCCAGGAGTTTCTTTTACTCAGCTGGGGCATGATCACCTGTCTTAGATTCCAAAACAGTTTGAATATTACTTCCCAACCACAGAAGACCCTTGAATAGGGAAGGAATGTCCAGGACCCACTTGTGAATAAACCAAGTGAATCGACTTAACCATGCTAGATCACAAATGATAATGACCTTAAAAATATGTTTGAAACAACTTCAAATCCCCGTACATTCTGGATTAAGCCAAGGTGGGATATCCTGAGATCGCTACAAAAGCATTGAAAAGCCTGCTTACGTTTCCAACATCCCATCTTTGTTAAGCACAGTTTCTGGAAAGACGGCAACCAAAACAAGATTATGGAGTAGATGGGACACAAACAGCACGCTTTGGGTGTTACTGTCTCTTGTGACCCCCAGAGGGGACTGTCTAGTTGCAGGGAAACAAGCTCAAGAATTCCACTGCTGCACAATCCAGGTTAAAGGACCTAGCAATGTTGACAACAAGGCAACAGTGCTCTTTTTTT